TGTGCGTGCGAACGTGTGAGTGTGTGTGTGTGTGCGTGTGAGTGTGTGCGAAATTTGAAACTCAAATTGTTTATATATAAAATTATTTGTTATGTAATTAAATATGGAATATTATATTATTAAATATAAAATTGCGTGCGTGCGTGTGTGTGTGTGCGTGCGTGCGTGTGTGTGTGTGCGTGCGTGTGCGCGTGTGTGTGTGTGAGAGAGAGAGAGTGTGCGTGTGTGTGCGTGTGTTATCAGACGGACAGATTGTGTCTGAACACGACGGTCAGAACACACACTTTCAGATGCTTTTCATGCCCACATCTCAATCCATGCGATGCTTAGTACATTTTAAATCAGTTTTTAAGCATTTTTTATTCTTTGCTTTTATTGTTGTTTTTGTTTCTCACGCATCTGTTGATTACTCTGATTCTTTTTTTAAGCACTCTGTGGATGAAATGTGCTGGATAAATAAACTACCACTGATTTGTGTCCATTAAAATACAATATTCTGCAATTAAATGTGTGTGTGTGTTTCCACAGCTGGCTTCTTCCACCACAAGCTTTAAATGCGTATTACCTGCCAAACAAAAACCAGATGGGTGAGTTTCATCTAACACACCTGAACATTGACATACAGAAGTGGAAAGCTTGGTATCAAGATTTCTTCTAATAGAAATTAATACTTGTATTCATCGAGGACATCAATCCATGCGATGCTTAGTACATTTTAAATCAGTTTTTAAGCATTTTTTATTCTTTGCTTTTATTGTTGTTTTTGTTTCTCACGCATCTGTTGATTACTCTGATTCTTTTTTTAAGCACTCTGTGGATGAAATGTGCTGGATAAATAAACTACCACTGATTTGTGTCCATTAAAATACAATATTCTGCAATTAAATTTGTGTGTGTGTTTCCACAGCTGGCTTCTTCCACCACAAGCTTTAAATGCGTATTACCTGCCAAACAAAAACCAGATGGGTGAGTTTCATCTAACACACCTGAACATTGACATACAGAAGTGGAAAGCTTGGTATCAAGATTTCTTCTAATAGAAATGAATACTTTTATTCATCAAGTACACATTAATTTGATCAAAAGTGTCAGTAAAGACATTTATAATCTTACGAAAGATTTCTATTTCAAATAAATGCTGTTCTTCTGAACTTTCTGTTCATCTGTGAATCCTGAAAAATAAAATGCATCACAGTTTCCACAAAAAATATTGTGCAGCACAACTGTGTTCAACATTGATAATAATCAGAAATGTTTCTCGAGCAGCAGATCAGAATATTATACTGATTTCTGAAGATCATGTGACACTGAAGACTGGAGGAATGATGCTGAAAATACAGCTGCGCATCTCAGAAATACATTACAGTTTAACAGAGATTCATATAGAAAACAGCTGTTTTACATTCTAATAATATTTCACTGTTTTACTTTAGTTTTGATCAAATAAATGCAGCCTTGGTGAGCAGAAGAGACTTAAAAACATTTTAAAAATTGTACCATCCACATTTTTAAACGCTAGTGGATATTATTCTACACATTAATTTTTCTGTCATGTTGAGGACACCGTTGTGTTTAATGATATTTTCTTCACACAAACCTTCCAGTATTTGTACATCTTCACTATGGCATTATTTATTATATTTATTCATTTGTTTTCCAGCTGCACTTCACAATGAAGCTTTCATCATTATCTGGGAAATAAAAGCCACCTGTTAGAGAATCAATCCAGACAGACAGAAACCGAGAGAGAGAGAGTTCATTTTCATCTTTTGTTCATTATTATTGTTCTTTTCTTGCTCCTATAAATGCTTTGGCAATATGCATCTTATTTGAATGTGAATGTGAATTTGACAGAAACAGAGAAGGAAAACTCATTAACTCATGTTTTTAGATTTCCTCCGTCAACTAACTATCGCTTCATCATTTTAAGCTCATCTTTGTCTCTGTTCAGTTTTTCCTGCAGGAATTCTCCAGCCGACTCTCTACGATCCTGAATTCCCTCAGTGAGTGTCACAGTCGTTCCTCTGGTGCTTCTCTGTGATTCCAGACGGACACTCAGAACACATTACAGGGATTTTAACACAGGATTCTTTGAAATCACATACAGTATGAGTAATTTTATGTTATATATATATATATAACAATATAGTTATTTGTGCTAGAAATTTGAAACTCAGATTGTTTATATATAAAAGTAATTTTTTATGTAATTAAAATAAATTAAATATGAAATATTATTAACAAACACACACATGTGTGTTTGTGTGTGTGTGTGTGTGTGTTTATGGCTGCTGTGGCTTTTCTCTGAGAGCTGTAGCTTTGTATTGATTTTCCTTCACAAAGTCTGTTAGAGGGGACAAATATTAGCAGACCTCACACACACACACCAGAAGTGTCACTTTCTCCAAAGAGACAGTAAATCCATTTTCACCACCGCCTTGCAAACACACACACACCAGGCGAATGATGATGAACATTTGAGAATGTATAAGATGCATTATAACATGCACGCACACTCACACTCTCTCACACACACACACACACACGCTCACACGTGCGCACACACACACTCACACTCTCTCACTCTCTCACACTCACACACTCACACACTCACACTCTCACACTCTCACACACACACACACACGCTCACACGTGCGCACACACACACTCACACTCACACTCACACTCTCTCACTCTCTCACACTCACACACTCACACACACACACACTCACACTCTCACACACACGCACTCACACACATGCACACACACGCGCACACACTCTCTCACACACACTCACACACACACACTCACTCACACACACACTCACACACTCACACACTCACACACACACTCTCTCACACACACACGCACACACACACTCACACTCACACACACGCACACACACTCTCTCTCTTTCTCACAAACACACACACATACACTGATTTCCATGTTTTGTAGCATAATCGTATCATTGATATATTTGTTAATACAGTGGGTACGGAAAGTATTCAGACCCCCTTACATTTTT